TATTCGGTGCAGCTAGTACATGAGTAAAATATTGTTCCAGAGCTCGACTATACGGTTGAAATAGTATGCTTGGAAAGTGCTGGTTCGACAATACGGATTTTTAAGTTTTCTTTCTTGACCTAACCTAACCTAACCTAACCTAACGTTACCGCAGGTATACATGTATCTGTATGTCCATTTCAGAGAAAGGTAATGTTAACTAATATCAACAAATTCTACAGTAAACGTCTCTCAAAAACAACTTTCAACAAAATAATTCTCTTTAGGAGGGTTTGCCAAGGTGAAGCTCGCCACTCATCGTCTGACAAATGAAAAGGTATAAATGAGAAGTCGCAATAATTAAATTATTTAAGTTACGGTAGTGAGTTGTGCTTAAATAAGAATACTTTTACAGTATGGGGAAGATTTTTTAAAATATCGTGGGACATATTTTGAACAGTCGTTAAGGTGACTCGCTATTTACCATTTAGGATGGAATTTTTGAACACTGGTTACTTGTTGAAAGCAAATGGTATCCGAGTTATAGAAAATGTTGTCTAAAGAGTATAACATTTTTAGCAAAAATGACGTCAGTGCGGTTGCTATATATAGCGATTTCAATATGGCCGAACTTTTCCAATTAGTGAAAATAATTGAAATGTCATGCTTATCATTGCAACGGCAGTGACGTCATTTTTGTAAAAATTTCATACTATAGGCGTTTTATTACTATTCGCTTTTCAACGAGTGACAACTGGTCAAAAATTCAGCCCTAGGTCGAAAACTTCCAGTTGTTAAAAACAGGAGGGAACCACCTCAAATAAATAATAAAGAGAAGTTCATTTTAGTACAAAATACGGATGGTTTCAGGTTTCATTCCCATGCATGCTTCATAAATTAGAGTGGTGGGATCATAAAGACGACTAAACATGGTCGATTAAGAACGACAAACATACATGTAATTAAACTAGACGAATATTAAAATCATATTGCGGTAACTAAAATTGGAAAATCTTTCAATTACATATCCCAACAGGTTGATCGGAAACCTGAAATGCTGTATACTACTTAAGGTCCAATTTACAGGTTTTCAATATTACAAGTTTCGTAACGATTTTCCACATAGAATATATTTGTTCTGACAAATCCAGTGTCGGAACCGATCTCCGTAGATCATATATAGACAGTTCTTAACTCTTTTTCCGCCATAACTTTATAGATGGTATAAATGTCGAGCGTGTATCCCAGGGGTTTCTGGGGAAGAAGGCATATTTTGCCACGGAAACAAGTGAATAAACCCAAAAATATCGAAACTATGTAAGCTTGGTGAACATGAGAACATGGTGAAACATGGTGAGAACACAGACCTCGCACCCCCTGGGAGACCCTCATTAGTAGCCTAATGTGTTGCATGTGGTGATAATGCAGTGATATATCTAATGCTGTAAATTTTGTAGGTCGCCATAAAAATGATGACGAAAGAAGCTCTTGCGGTTTGTATTATTAGTGAGCTTAAGCAAGCGACGTTTTTGACAACACGGACGTCGACCGGAAGTAAAGTTGACGTTTTTCACCAATCACAACCCTTGACCCAGTCTTCTGACGTTACTCATGCCGTTCGTGTTGTCAAAAACGTCACTTGCTTAAGCTCACTATTTTGATATCTGAGGCTTGCAATGGTCCTAACATTACTCATGACTGCCTTGGGGTGACGCTATCTTCATAACTGTAAGGAACTAACTCGAGCTCCAAATTCAATTTTCAAAACTTTGTTGAATCGTGAGCTCAGGAATTAGAGGTTAATTTTAGGCGGTGGAACTATCTTTCCAAATCTCCTTACTAGCTAACACTTACTGGTTAAAAACTAAAAATAATCATGTGGAGATAGTCATCTAAGCCTGGAGTTAATGGCTGCGCCGGCGTGGACAAAGCTCCAGATTCGAGGATTGGCGGCTACCTCTGCAAAAATATAATCTACAAGCATGACATTATTTACTAAATTGCCGGATTATGTTTTTCATGTAATATTGTAATAAATTACCTGTTAATAGGCGTTCAGCATATTATGTCAACATTTTTGGTCCTTCTGAGTCCGGACTGATCATAGCACAAGACAAAATTAATGTTAACTCTTTTACAATGATACAACCTAGACCAAGAGAACACCCGAAAATAAAAAAAATAAAGGAGATGTTACAATTTGAGACAAATGCCTAGTTTCATGATTTGACTCGTGATTTGACTTTGTGTTTTTGTTACAGCATGATCTACCACGTGTTTACACTGAAATTGCCACCATGAAAGAGTTGTGTCATCAAAATATTTGTCAACTTTATGAAGTTGTGGAAACGGAGGCGGAAATTTTTATGATTTTAGAGGTACTTGTATATGATAATAAGGAGGTTCAGTTTTGACTACGAGCACGACAACAAGTATACAAGATTTTTCCCGCAAAAAGTATAGCCAGCTTTCTGTTGACTTTGGCAATTATTAAGCTGTAGTCGACCTGTTGTTGAGCACGAGATTTTAATTAAACAAATCTCCTACTCGGATAACGAGTCTGTTTCAGGAATTTACTGGTTTGTTGCTGCCTTTACCAACTGAATCAGTTTTCAAAAGCGAAAGTATTTGAAATTGTTTTAGACGCTTTGTTATGGAAGTTTTTTAGTTTTAAACACTCGTTGCCGTTCGTACTAAACAACAAATCTCGTACTCGTTGTCGTTCTCGTAGTCAAAACTAGACCTTAGATCTCTCTAATTTAAATTCGATCCACAATTCTACATATGATATAGGCCTTGTCTCGAACGGTCGGTGCCTGTGTAGGTAGTAGACTAAAGTAGAGATGTTCATATTTGATTTCCACTACCGCTAGCACTACCTATCACTGGCTAAGTACGCATTTGATTGATTAAGAGGCAATTTTTTTCAATGTCACGTATTTGCAATAAAAATTGCTCAAAACCTAAAATCTTTTTCGCGTTCCTCTCGAAATTACTTTGTTTTAGGTTTAATCTTTAGTTTATAGAGTTAGCTAGCTAACTCTATAATTGTCAATTAAAATACAATTATCAATGACAATGTTGCTATAAAATTGGCGCCATATTTACAGCCATAATAAGCAAAACTTACTGAACTTCAGACATCATTTTCTCTTTGGCATATCATCTAAAATCTCTTCATTTTAGCATTATTTTACAGATAAAACACTAAACATACTTTTTCAGTTTGTTTGCAGATTTTGAATTTAGTCATAATCTCAAGTGATATATTATACGCATTAGTTTTGAGCGCGTGTTACGTAACATACAAAAAACTCCTATTAATAGGATATATCAAACGCATATGATTGGTTAATAGTTCATCCCTGAGCCAACGGCGCTTCGCGCCGTTCCTGGCGTAAGCCCGGGGCGAGGGTACTAATTCCGCCCGGCTATTTACACCCGGGAAAACGAACGCATTAGCGAAGTCTGAAGTTCATCAATGATCGCGGCTTGAATATGCGTGGATATTGTCGGCGGGATAGTATCCGTTGTGACACCGACAATCGGGATAAAAAATTCTCTAATAATGGACCAGCTTGGCTTCCAAATAAGCAGCCCCTTAGATTGTACAATTTACAGAACTTCTTCGTTTTGAGCGAAGGCCATTCTCGGAAGTTAGTGACTCGAATTTCCCGACGGAGCGCCTTCGCTCGAAACGTGGAAGATCTTAGGTGTCATATGACAGGAATAACCTGATCTCTGAAGCTACGTTTACACGCTGCGATTTGTTGTGTACAATTCGTATTCTGCGTACTAGCGTATGTTAACATCGAATAAGCAAGCGTATTGTAAAGTGGTTGCAGACTCTTTTCACATGACGTTGACATACTCTTTTCACACGAGTCCGTATATATAGCGAGAATCGAACCAAATCGGTCGCAAGGTCCGTGGGACTGCTTACCAAAAGTTAGATATGATTGGTCATGCGGGAAGTGATCAGCATGGCCATTCATTGTAAATAATGAAAAGCTGGCCGAGTACACACTTGAGCAGACATTTGTCAGACCCAAACGAAATTGTTATAATCCGCATTGACCCACGACCACAGAGGTGGACGAAAGGTGCTTGTGATATCAGCCGTAATTTTCATACGCAAGAATACGAATCGTATGCGACAAATCGCAGCGCGTAAATGTACCTTTATAAAGTTAAGGCCTCTTTACGCTTGCAATTTTTGGTGTGAATTTTAGTGCGATTTCTCCTTCTGATGCATGTGAATGAGTAGATGAGTTACGAATGTTCTGAGTTATCTGAACATTCACAACTTATCAGTCGTTCACATCTATCAGAAGAAGAAAATCACACCAGAATTCGCAGAAAAAATTGCAAGTGTAAACCACCGGCCTTACGTATGAAATATTATATCTGTATAAAATTAATTCCTAACGCAAGATAGCCTGCCAAAGTTGGATTACCTCTTTCCTGATACACCCTGTACTATGTAAAATGACATTTATCTTTTTAGTACGCCCCTGGAGGAGAGCTTTTCGACTATATAGTCGCAAAGGACCGTTTGGAGGTTTGTTATATGTTGCATATTCTGGTCACTTCCTTGTTTGTTTGTGATCTTCCCCACGTTGTTTCGTAAAATATCTCTTCGTCAATCTAGGAAAAGGAAGCGAGGCATTTCCTTCGTCAGATTGTGGCAGCTGTGGGCTACATGCATGAAAAGGGCTATGCACATCGGGATTTAAAACCTGTAAGTGAAGCTAAATAAACTCCGGGTACCTTGGTTTATAAATTTTTAATTGATTTTTTTTCGGGGGTCGGTACCCCAGATCACCAATTTTCAAAAAGCAGTTGGTGGGGTGTGAGGGAGGTGCATGTGCAGATCCCTCTAAACACATGCAGACAGATATGGCGTCAGATTTCCGCCAATATTCATGTTGATATTAATTCAACATGTTTCCGTATTGAAGTGAATTTCGACATTGAACATATCAAATTCAGCATGCCACTTTAATTCAACATTGCTTCAATTTCAACATGTTTCTCTCATTGATGTTAATTTGAATATTGAACGTGTCAAATTTAAGTGAAATACAACATTGAAGTATAGATATTGAAGTAATTTTCAATGTTGAAGTTTCAAAACATCTTGAAAACGCATCACTACATGAATTTGAGAGGTGAATATTGGCGGTTATATAGCACCGCGTTAAATATCCGCCAATATTAATTAACACTTCGTTAAACTCCCCCCCTGGCATATTCCAATATGGCGGCTACGAACGAGCGGAATCAGTGATGAAAATCATGGTGCACTATGGTGGATATAAAACTGAACATTATTGAGGATATAATATCACGATTAGACAGCTAGCCTTGGTGACCCAGATTGTGTAGAGGAATTGGCAATACGATTTGACGTTTTAAAGAGATATCTTGTAAATATTAGAATGGACGACATCTGCATGCACTTTGGAATTGCTGGATAGGGTTTGCAAAAATTTAAACCAATTTGAGCAGCGGCAGCGCTATTCCGCCATGAATAATTCTGCATTTCCAGCACAAGTTTATGCCGTGGAAAACCTTCGTAGGTCCTTCGTATGATATACACGAGGGGCAATTGAATTTTTTATAGCGAAGTAAGCAGTATGATGGGTGTACGCAAAATAACTTTGGAGCGGCGAATGCGGTCATTTGACACGAGTGTGTCAGGTAAGAAAGTTATGGCTTATACACATCCTATACATGGCCAACACAGTGGTTATGCAGCACTGTATATGTTAAACCCAAGTCGACAAACCTAGGGAAACTGATGTAAATGTAATGCATACATGTAGATGAAACCACAACTTCCTTGTGTGGGGATTGGTGTTAGTGAAAAAATCTAGACACTGACCTCTGAATTGGCGAAGACTGATCAGGTCATTTGCGGTTTGCCGACCTTAAACGAGAACAGGACTGGAAAGCTCAGTTTTCAATAAAATTCAAGTTTTCATGAATTAATCCAAAATGCCAAGTTCCTGGAGTGGACGGACTGCCACCAACCGCCCTGCTGCCACTGACATGGGCTTTTTATGTCTGCTCAGCAGTGCATTACTATAAGCTAACCTTTT